GGAGGTAGACGCGTGAAATGTATGTTTTGAGCAGCCTCTACTGTCGCCCTGTGCGGGGTTCACCGATTTCTGTTTTTTGCGATGCCTTCCGACTGGTCTTGTGCGTCTTTTGTACAGTTTCTGGTGCTCTTGCGTATGTTTTCAAAACTAGTCACACATGAACTTGCTGTTCTGGTGGCCCTTAACGCTCTCCTCCGAAAGGCGGCGTCTCCTTTACTCTCTCCCTTTCTCTAACGAGATAAAAAAAACGTACGCCTTGACTCGGTGTTGAGCACTTTCGCAGGGCGTTCAAAAGAGACTAAATAGAAAGAGGAATTCAGTCAAAGACAACAGGGCTACGGCGACGGAAACCTCGGCGATGTTTTTCGAGCGGCGGGTTGGGTGTTTGCCAATTGCTGGCCTTCGTGACAACAATCAGAAAATGGCGTATCAGCGCCAAAACCATCCGGGCCAGACATGCTCTACTCCTCTCGAGAGTTGTAAGTAGTTTTGGAGCGAGGGTGTTGTAGGGCAGGGTTTTTGTTCGACTTTAGATGGCTGTGACCCAAGGCATAGGCGTGTAGAGTTCTCGGGCTACCGCAATGTGTGTTGCGGTCACGGGGGTTGTGTTGCCAGAATCCATCAATCGCTCCTCACCAGAGCTTGTGGAGGTCTTCGAAGCTCTTTCTCCGCAGCTCAGGCACGGTCCAGCTCCTCCCGACGATGGGAACGTCCCCGGCCTTACAACGATGTTCAAACAGCAGCAGCAGCAGGAGCAGCAACAAGCACAGCACAATACCCCGCGCGGGGAATACAAGCAGAGCACGCGCGTTACATAGGCTTGCCTCACACGTCTTGTGTGAAAATACGACAAAATGTGCTCACACCCGGCCCCAAGGGTGTGTAGGCTCATCGTGACAGCCGGGGGGAAGCGGTGCGGTCGGGAACAGGAAAAGTCGCGTGTCCAGGGATGATTCACAAAACAGTACAGCAATGAAATTGGGCGAACCAGTAGAACCGCAGGGCGCTCATGCGGCGTTCGTTAACCTCGTTGGTTGAGCAGCACGGCATAACTCCGTTCAGAGCTGACGAACGATGCGTGTGTGTACGGCAGGCAACGTGCACTTTGTGTTTCAGAGCAACACACCCATCATTGCAGGGCGGCATTTGACTTTTGAGGGTCGCACACTTGCCTGTTTCAAAATTTCTACCAGACATAATCCTGACAGCAAGCAATTCGCAACCCACAGCAGCCGTATGGCCGTGGTGCATAGTGTGTACTGCTATGCCTCGCGAAGGCCTGCAAAGCGCCCTGACTGTACAACATCCTTGTTTGTTGAGGGGTGAATCACTCAAGAAAACGAAACAAACTCTTACCTTGACAACCTCTGGATCGCGGAACTCCTCCAGGCCCCGCATGGGCAACCGAAGCCTCGCGGACAGGGGGCCTGTCAGCCCCCTTCTCAACGTCGAAAGCCCCGCTCGCTGACGCCGATGCGGCACATGCTGGCTGCCGCTCCAAGATCGTTCCGCGGTCGAGCGCGGCGCAGCAGCAGGGATGGTCGTGCTGCAGATCGGGGAAAAGGAGGATGACGTCGAGACCATCGGTGGTCGACGCACCGCGAACGCTCGTCGTAGGAGAGACGAAACCACCCCACTGCGCATCGCCGACATGATGCCGCTACTGATGGTGCTGTGTGAGGTTGCAGGCAGGTGGTTGTGTGTGTGTTGCTTGTCGCTTTAGATGGCAACGAGGGTCCTCGCAAACAACAAAACACACATACCCTGTTGGTGGACACTCCAAAGGCCCCCTCCAGGGCACTCCTGCCGCAGCAGCCCGCGCCAGGCACTTGCTGGCACCCACCCGCTTCTGCTCAGTACGCGTAGAAGAAGACCGTGCAGGGTTAGCATCCTCACGTTGGACGAGAGAAGTTAAGTTGGCGACGACAGACAAGTAGTAGATTTGGAGCGGCTGCTTTCGTACGTCCAGCGGAGCGGAGACTCTACTGCTGTAAATCCATTCTTGTTGCCTGTTTGGTGCTGGGGGCTCTGTGTACCATGCTCCACGCAGAGCGCAGAAACGCGTTCTCTTCCGCAATCCTCGCGCTGTTGGTGGCCGCCAGGAGCACGACGGCCATCTTGCACAAGCACCTCTCCTTCGTGCCCCCGTTCCTGGACGTGGATCACTTCGGCAAGCGGACGGTAGGGTTCGAGTGGGACGTGACGGGAGAGGCCAAGGTCATGAGAAACTTCGTTCGGCTCACTCCCGATAGACAGGTGTGTGTGTGAGAGAGAGAGCGTGTTAGGGTGGGACCAGGCGGCCATGATTTTCTGTTGGCGTACTGATTGCTTGTCGGTCAAACTACAGGAAGGAGGTGGCTACCACCACGTACAGAGTACAAAGGTTGGGTTCTTGCGGAAAGATGGAAAGTTGCGAATCATGGGGGGGCTCTTCGGGCGAAACGTTGATCAAATGTTCCTGATTTTCATGTGTCGTATGTCGCATTATACATATGCACAGTCTCGAAGCCCAACGACCAACGACCCTAGCCGTGAGAGAGAGAGAGAGAGGACTGGTTACATGTCAACATAAGATGTGGCAAGGGAAGCATTTGTACGCTAGTACTGGAGATTCGGTAGCCGCCGGTACGTGCGCGGCCTCAGCTCGTCGTCGTGTCCGTAGATATGCATAGCAAGGACCACTGCCAACCTGCGCAACCGACAGCAGCGGCAGCAGCAGCAGCAGCAGCTATGTACGCTCGGGGGCCACCAGCGGCCGCACGTCTGGCAGCTTACTGGCCAAGAGAGAACATGGCCTCGCACAGACACCGGTTACATATCTTTGTGAGATCCAGGGGTATGCCTACGATTGTTCTGCCATCATACACCTCGATTCAAATGCACGCAGCTCGATAGAGCCTGAGGTTTGGGGTCGGCTCACGACCGAGTTGGTACCGCTGTCGTCCTGCCCGTTAGCCTACATCAATGACAGACGAAAGAAAAAGAAAACAAGTTGTCCCGCTTGTGAGCGTTCCAAAGATGAGTGCTAGCCCCACCCCCCAACCCCCCCCCGGTGTTTGCCCCCCCCGGTGTTTTGCCATCGGGGTTGGGTTTTCGTCGCTTGGCAACGACGT